TTGTAACTTGAAAACTCTGGGCTGCATTTTAGTCTGGACGAGCATATATGGAGACTTTTGCAAACAGTGTTGGAAATAGTCCTGTTCACTTCCTGACTGAGTCTTATCAGACTACCAGCGGTGAATACAAAACAATTTCAACACTATACTGTCAGTAACATTTCCTCACTGTCATTTGTTTTAAAGAACAAATGCAAATTGCAAAAAGATAACCTGCATCCTGTTAGCACACGGGCAGTGTACATGTACATGGTCATGTGATATGTACTCTGAGATTACATCCGAGTTAAAACATTAATCAGGATGAGATTATTTTTGATATAAGACACTGGTTTCAAATGAAATCAGATTAATGTGAAGACACCTTCAACCAAAGAGTGATAAGCTGAATGCATTTGCATGTCTGCAGTTTCCCTCTCTGTGTGTGACCTGCACTGACACTCACATTACTCAGAGGACAGCTGTCTGCCAGCCATGTGTTCGTACCTCAGGACAGCTGCAGCCGAGAAGAAGCGGTTCAGAGAGGAGAGGGAAAAGAGATGAGGGAAGAATGGTGAATTACTCGGGGTGAATTCCCACACTATCGCACTGATTGCCAAGGCGTGCCACCCACTAACAATTTGCATGAATAAATATTCAGTAATTATGGTGAGACCTTGAGCTTGGAGGATCACAGCAATTTCTTAAAATGATCCTCCTGTCACGCTCCAAACTAGAAACTTCAGCATCCCTCAGAGATTCTGCTTCAAATGTGACCACACCTACTCTCTCGCTTGAACTCTTCTGACTTGGTATTTAAGGAACAATGCTTCATCTCTTTTACTACAAATTATGTATGCTCTAAAGTACACCACAGAGATAAGATCTTTCCATGTGTTCCTCATCCCTGACATGTTTTTGATGATCTTACGTTCTACCTGTTAAAGGAAAAAGCATCAATCATTTTAAAGGCTTCCGGTTTGATGCATTCAGGTGTTTGTGTGAAACTCCGACCTTGAGAGTCAAACAGCAACAAACCACGTAAATATATGTGTGTGTGCCCCTCCTTTCCTTTTAGATTCAAAATAAATCATTTGACATTTTGGAAATGAAAAATATTCTGTCTCGTTCTGACAGTGAGATGAGGATACCTGTCTCATATTTATACTTGAAGCACAGCCTGGAGGCATTTAGCTTTGGTTACCAGCCAGGCTAGCTCGCTAATTGCAGGACTTTTTAAGACAGGACATGGGAAATCATGTAAATATGACAGTTTGTGACTTTATAGACGATTAAAGTTAGTTTTATTAGTCAGAGTCAATAAAACAATGTGATAAATCATCCTTAGCTTTTAGATGTTAAACAAATTAAGTTCATGAGTTAGGATTAACCAATCAGAACTCTTCTAGCTGAAAGGTTTAAACATCGATATGTTTTTTTCTTTGTAATCTTCTCTAGGTTTTGACCCAGAACCACTGAGCTTGCTGGTTTCTTCAGAGTCATTTAGCATGTCTTTACCGGGTAACAGGCCTGAATGGTCTGCAACACTCTGTTGCACAGTTATGAGGGAGTGGTGATAAACAGCAACAGTAAACACAAGAAATGTCTTCTGATGCTGTGTTCCAGACAACTCGGATGTTGATTTTCCAACCTTCTACTTGAAAAAGTGCAATTAACGCCACTCAAAGTCAGAGTTACGACTTGTGAAATCTGGGAAATTTCAACCACATGGAGAAGCAGTTGTCTGACGTCACACAACGGCGGTGCTAATGGAGATGTTGTTACTGTAGCACTGAGGCCCATCTACCCTCCGTTGTACTCTTATTTTCTTGTTTGTGAGACTGAGTGACGTGCGTGTGTACCTGTTCTCTCCCTCTTATGAATTGGAATGTGTTTCCAGGCATAAATGTGCCGTAAAATAACACATATAATGGCGCCTGTGGCCTCATGCATCATTTCCCCTCCTCTGCTTTGTTTGTGTATGAACTGAGGCTGCACTGGTCACAGTTGAATTGTCTCATCACGAGCCAAATCATCAGCTTCTCACGGTCAGCCCGGTCTGTTTACGTTTGACATTGTGCCATCTCCGTGCATCGGAATGTTTGCAAGTCGGAACTCGGCCATTTCACAGAGTGGTGGGGATATCTCCCCAGTGTAAATGGCACTATGACTTGAGCTAGTGAGCTAGGAAATGTAGAGAAAGTGGTGGATCAATGTTAAAGACACAATCGCATGCGGAAATAAACTGCTTTTATTTATTTGACGGAACACGTTTCTGATATCTTATAACTCAAAAATATGATTATATGCTACTTAACATTGATGTGTCATCATGTTGCACTTGCAAGAATTGTGTTATTGTCCCAAACTTTATCTCCCAGGTAGTTAACTTCAACTTAAATGAATGTTAAACTACAGTAGGTCTTTTCTTCTCTTCCAATTTCTGACTCATCAGGAAGGCAGAGAGGTACTCAGCAGGGAGAATGAAGGGGAGGAGATGCTGATGGTTTCAGTTTGTTTTTAGCCCAGTGGGGGTATCCTGATGCTGCAGCGTGGGGTCTCAAAGACAAACAAGACCGAGGACAAGAAATCGTGCACACCCATAAAGTCTATGTACCTGCCTTACTTTATCTGGAGAAAGTCCTGCTATAATGTTTGTGAACAGAAGGAGACACATTCAGATTGGGACATTAGCAAATTACCACTCCCATTACAGAATATGTTTTTCTTTCTCATTCATTGTTTTGTGTGTGTGTGTGTCTTATGTGTACAGACACAGTGTGGATGAGGACAGTGTTGATTAGTTGATCAGTCCATCACTTTGGTCCAGACCCAACTATTGGATTAATATGTTTCATGTGGGATCAACTGTACTGACATCTAATGCCAACATCGACCAGCTGGTCTAAATTTTAAATAGCATCACACTTTGGTTTTATTTACGTCAACCTCAGCTTTATTTTGTGTGCTCATTGGATACTGTTCGGATGCTAACGTGCCTAACAAAATTGGCCACCATGCCAACATGCCCTGCAATAAATAAGCATTTTAATATAATCATTGCAAGCATCATGATGTTAGCATTTAGCTCAAATCCTCACCTGACATTGATGTAAAAACCAAATTTATAATTCATATTCATTCAAGGAAGGGATTAAGGTGGATTAGGGTGAGTTCAGCCAAAAATAAACAAATCTAAAATTATACATTGGAATTAGTCCCACTTTGTTAATCAGGAGCATAGCCTACAGTGTAGCATACCGCTAGACAGTTTCACCATAAGTACTTCAATTCTTCATCATTCAACACTATTCAATACTTTTCCCTAGTGCAACCTGCTAGTATACAGAGATGATTATTTGAATCCTGACGGGACTGTTGACTCTTATATAGTGATAAACGTGTAGAGGACAACGTGTCAGGTGCATCACATGAAAAATAAGATTTGGCAATAAGGTGAGAAAAGACCACACCACAAAAGGTCAGTCAGTTTAAGGCCAATTACCAGCGTTTATCAGCTGTAAAAGACAATGAGTGATGTTTTGAAAACAACTTGAGGCAGCCACAGATGCACACTGTAACTAAGTGAGTGAGGACAGGACGTGTCCCTCTTTTCCGAAGCCTTAATCCACATTGACTTTACTTGTCACTTGTCTGTTTCAACCACAATAGCGTTTCCTTTAAGTTGCAGCTGGCAGACACCCTGTCCTGGGTTGGTTTGTGTTTTGCATTATGTTAGGTTAAACTTCACAAACCATCATAATCAATCATATTTACTTAGTGTTTATAGGTTCAGTTTTTCTTTGGTACTCACCTTTCCTACCATGTGCTGAAGGAACAAAACAGGGGAAGTGACGCTACGCTTCCTGTATAATAATAAATAATATGATCAGAAATATTAATAATCTTAAATAATAAATACAGCTCCTACAAGAAAGAGATTATGGTCTGGGGTCAGTTCCTGCTGATGGAAGGGGCTATATAAGCAGTTGCCATTTCATTTTAAGGGGGAAAGGACATTGGTGTGCATGTGATGCTTATTTAAATTGCTTTATTATGACTTGAGTTTCATTCAGTTGAGATAACATAACTGTTATTTTTTTTATTTTGCTCTCTCGTCACACGTATAACATGGGACCGCTGTTTTGTTACGTAAACACTAGATATCACTAAATTCTACACACTGAACCTTTAAGGGCAGCAGTCAATAAAAATTCTAAATGACAATAACAATAAGATTGAAAACAGAGCACAGTGGATGTATTTGCAGGAAAATAGAAGCCAGTGTGTTGCCATCAGGCAGAGCGACCATTCAGAAACAATTTGCATTATGGAGCCCATGATGGGCTGCTCTGTCTCATCTCTTGACTCATCGTGTGGTCACCTCCAGCTCTCTTGCCGTGGGGTCATACAACACATCAGATGTGTGAATGGCGTGTTCCACACACATGATGACGGGCACAAGGTTAAGTTACAGAGGTTGATGGTTAGCTTTAGCTTTTGTGTTTAGTTTGTTGCATCTGATTTATTCAGTGTATAAAGTGAGCTTGTAGATCCCGTGAGTCATCGATTGCAGCTGTAGAAGCAAAACAAATGTTTCTATCAATAGTTTCTTACTTTTCAAGTCGGTGTGAGGTTGTAAGACAAAGTAATGATGTATTGTCAGATTGCCATTTTATCCCAGTCACCAATCTTTATAATCAGATTGATTAAATCTGATAACAGGCAAACTATTAATCCTCACCTTGATACAACGCAGTGCAATAATCTTCCCTCTGACTCTCTCATGCTTTCCTTCTCATCTATAGCACAATTATCACAGGAGAATGGCAGACCCCTGTGGTAAATGAATTTCATATCAGCCATATCATAGTCATTAGATACACTAATGCACTCTATCATCTTCTGCTGTGATTATAATAGACACATAATGGGCTTTTAATTCATGCTGGCGTGCCCTCTCACCCTCTGTCCTTCTTTGTTTTAACACCTCCTCGTCTCCGTCCCCGTTTCTGCCTCAGGTTTTGCAGTGAACCTCCAGGTGATCCTGGTGAACCCGCGGGCGATGTTCAAGCGGCGTGGTTCCCAGCCCGGGATGCAGGAGTCCGACTTCCTCAAGCAGATCACCAAGGTCACTGAGTTGGAGCCCAAGGCCAACAACTGCACCAGGGTGAGTAACCAGACATCACTGTCACCGTGACAACAGACGGAAAGTAGTCAAGGACCTGATTTGATTTATGCTCGACAGCATTCGCTGTTTGTGCTTTATAATATTAATTTAGGCATCCAAACAAATACAGTTTCCTGATGTGAACAGATAATGTGCAAACGGCAACAGCATACACACATTTGCAATTTCTAATTTACACAAACAAACTAAAAATGTAAAGTCTTTTAATGAAAAAAATCCACATAATACAAATACAAGATCAACATAAATAAACAGATTCATACAGCATAAAGCAACAGTGCTGCAGTTATTTTTTGTGGGTGTACATTTACATTATATGAAGCCAGTGCATTTCATGCAATTGAAAAAGTATGTCCCTTAACACCAAACCTTTTTATATTCAGTGAGGCTCAGTAACTTTTCATCAGGTTTACTTAGATTGGTTGTTCAGACTAGGATGAGGCTTGACTGATGTTGCACAGTGTTATTTTTACCTCTTGACATGATTGTGCAGCGTGGCACCTTGTTTGAAGAGGGGATATTTATGAACTGAAGTTAGGGACAGTCTCAGAAAGATTTTCAATTCAATTTTCAGTTTCAATCCCGAGCATTTCTCTTTTTTACAATTGGCTTTTGTTTTTACAGCTTATTCCATCTTATCACTCATTTGAGACGATACACAAATACACAAGCTGAAGCTTTTAAAGAGCAACATAGAACTTCATTGAACACGCCCCCTTCACAAATTCCGGACAGCGCAATTAAACCCACCAACCCCCACCCGCATCACAGTCCTGTCAGATCATGGCTCCAGTGTTGTTCTCACCCCCACACTTTCTACAGTTACCTGCTTTAGCTGGTTTCAGTCATTTTAATGCTCAGATATTCGGTCTTTCAGAATTCATAAAATGGTATAACACATGTAACCTTTTAACATCTGTACAGCTGTACAGGTTATATTTCACTCAGGTTTTTTGCCAACCAACACTAAAAGCAGTGACTTCAGTCCTTTTGAGTTTGATCTGTGTAGCTTAAAGGCTCCAGAGGATAAAGCTGATGTGGAGAGAGGGTTTATCAAATGATGTGAGATAAAGTGACTGTAGTCATACTCCACTACTTCAAAAAGATGATTTTAGTGTAAGATTTTACTATTAAGTCCAACAAGCATAGTGGAGAATGTTTGCATTTTAAACTAGACAATCAAAATCATACAAAACCTACTTTTACAAAATGTTATTATGTGTATGTTTGGAGCAGCTAAACCAATGAGAAGGATACATGGCAGCAGAAAAGAATTTTACACTGAAAACCGAGCAGTTTGTTTAAGTTTAAATAAGAAATCCCATCTCCCACATTTCTGTTTTAAGGGTCAAAGGTCACACAGGCAATATGCTGTTTTTATCCTTTATGAAATAAAATAGATTTGCCTGTTTCACTTGTCACAGTTACTGCAGGATTGATCAGTCAGATATGAAGTATGTCATCGCACTGCATATAAAAAGGTGAATGAGGCAGACTTGGGTTTAATAAAAGACTGATTTATCATCATGTAGCACTTGTGGGTTTACGTGTGTGTGTCTGGGGCTCATATCAAACTGCAGTCATAATCATCACCATCACAGAAGCAGCTAAACATGGAGCATCTCCCCCCACGACTGACAGCATGAGTTATGCTTTCAGCCGCTGGCACAGTCAGACTTAGACACACACAGCTTGAATTGGATAGAAATGGCGTTATAGAGCTATCAATTCTAGTTGTGTGGTTAGACAGCTTAGATCGATGCAGCTCATCTCAAATTACCACAGTCCCTGTCGGCACTTGGTTTTATGAAGCCACTCATCCTCTTGACAACCATCACGGAGCCACCTTAAAAGGACTTTTTGTGAGGAATGGATTCTATTATGTTTTTAACTTTCAAGGAGTGTGTGAGCTAAAAGTGTCACGACCCCAGATCTTCCAAACAAAAACCAAGTCTGCAAGTGGAATTGATTTACTGGCTTTAGTTTGTTTAGCTTGTTTTAAAATGTTTGAAATATAAAAAATTGCATTTCAGTAGCTGTTTTAATTAATATCGGTGATGGTGATTGGAAGCAGTGTGACCCCACCCTTGAAATAAAGTCTGAAAGGAGGCTTCATCCTCAAATCAAGGGCCAATTATATGTCTGTTCACTATTCCTGATTTATAAAGACACAGTTGGTCCTTCATTGAATATATTTTGAAATGTTTTACATGTTTAAGCACATAGTGAACTTCTTTTAACAATATTCTTTATTTCGAAATAAAACAATATTTGGAGTCATTTTTGCTATGAATCTGTTTTTGGCCTGGTGGCGATTCATTACACTGGGATTTATGTACTTGTAATTCAGTATTAAAAAGCAAACTTGAACTGCAGGCTAAAAAATAAGCATGTCTCTTTTCTACGTGTGTTGCCAATGTGAGTGAAATACAAAGTTAAAGTGTCACAGTTGCACAGTTGTAAAACTAAATATGCTGAGATTATGGCAGAGAAATTAGTGCTTTGCTTTAATCTATGTTTTGCATAAAACATTCCATTACTGAGCCCCCCCCCCCCCCCCCCCCCCCCCCCCAACATAACCATCATGAAGCAATTGTGAAGTCGTTGAAGTTGTTATTTGTACTTCACAATGGATGTATTAAAAGGGGAGGGAAGCTCAGTGGAGCAGAATACGATCAGGGCCCAGTTTTTTGATGCTGCACCCCTGCTGATGATAAAAGTCAAACATCATCAAAACTGCCAGTCCAGTAATGTTGTGTTGTGGAGTGTGACAGACACAGCAGTATGTAGGGTGCCCCAGCAGTGAACAGACTGATTCGTTCATTCTGAAGCTGCCTCTGTCCTTTACACCGCAAACTGTCTCTTCATTCTCTGTGGAGATGCGTCGTCTGGAATCAACGGATATAAAATCTGAATTTACTGTTTCACCGTATGTGTGCAGGTCACATCGCTGCACTCCCCAGTGGGTTATGGGTAAATGTTTCCTGCAGGGAATTCGGATAAAGCCCCCCGGAGCTGCTGGATCATCACTTACAGCTGGCTGCTGCCGCCACTGCAGACAGCTCTGTGTTGAAACTATCATCATCATTATCAGCCCCATTACACTAATGGAGGTGCCCTGCCGCTGATATTAATACAGACCATTAGAGGGGCTATGACATCATCAGTCACCGCCCAGCACTGCGCGGACAACAGGATGTGACATCAGCATTTATCATGTCAGAGTTATAAAAGCAGCGGGATGTGACATCATCAATCTTATGCTTTGCGGTTAGAAAATGTGACATGATCCAGGAAGTCGTTGCTGCACATTTACTTATGACATCGCTGATCATAACTCATGAAGCTGCAGTGTGAAAGAGATCTGATGTCATGACTCTTAAAGGGATAGTTCACCTGAAAATTTAAATTCACTCATTATCTATTCACCACTATCACGATGGAGGGGTGGGTGAAGTGTTTGAGTCCACAAAACTCTTTAGGATTCTCAGGTGCAAACAGCGTTGCAGCCAAATCCAATACAATTGAAGTAAATGGTGACTGATTCTTCAAAAGTAAAAATAACTACATGGTGTAAATGACCTCGTTTAGAGTTGAATTTGAATGTCGGGGCTTACGGACACTCGGATGACAGCACAGGAGCAGGGTGGAAGCATGTTATCATGGCTCAGAGAGCACCTCCACCTGCACCAGAGGATTAAACATTGCAGGGCTACTGGCCGATTGATCCTCTGGTTAAAAAGGCAGCGGCAGAACTGCCGGGGAGAGACACAGAAACACATGGGAAGGAGACGCACGAGAAGAAACACAATGAGACATGAGACACACATGGGAGGAGAGACACGAGAGGCTGGAGAGGGCTGAGCTGTAAATCCAATACACCAGCAGAAATTGCTGGCAAGTTTAAGCTTAGTTTTGAATATATGTTTGTGTGTGTTAAAGAATTAAAGGTGCTGAAGAGCGACTCATTTGTCTCTGGCTGTGTTTAGGAGACCCAGTGGCATCATCCATTGCCACAATTATGTTTTTTTCTGTTGTTTTTAAGTTTGACGAATCAGTCACCATTCATTTCAATTGTATTGGATTTGGCTTCAGCTCTGTTTAGCCCTAAGACTCCAACAAAAGTGTTTTGTGGACTCAAACACTTCACCCCCTCCTCCATCGGGGTGACCGATTTTTGGGTGAACTACCCCTTTAAACAGTCAGTGCAGACAACATCAGTCAGATCATCACAGCACGTGATGTGATGTCACCACATAATGTGTACACTCTACTATTCAACTTTACTGTGAATACTTCACTGTTATGTGATAATCTGAATTTAGCATTTTCTGAACAAGACACATGGGACATGCTGATATTATTCTGATATATGTTTATAGCTGATGTATGTCCCCAGTTATATGTTTCTTTGAAGCATTTGTACGACACACTTGGAGGCTGTGTCTCAACTGGGGTCTTTACAGCAGTTTGCAGTACATCACCATACATGTAAGTGCAGCTGAAATCACGGTCTTTAAGTAATGTGTGTGTGGAGTTTGTCAGATGACGCCACGGTTATTAAATCAGGATTCGAACGGAGCAGCAGCTTGGAAATGGCCTGTTGTGGAAGTGACTGCTGGTTAACATTATGTTATAATGGGCTGCGTTTCAGTCACTGTTTCATGCCTGTTCCACTGTTCAACACCAGAAACAGAACAAAGTGTCAATGAGAACAGCCTCATTTGGAATTTAGTTGAATTAAAGTACAGTATTATGTAAATGAGCAGAGATTTGGAGAGAAGCAAACAGATAAACGGCGGAAACAGACTGAGACTGGGCAGAATATAAGTACGAGGAAATGACGCCATTAAATTACTACTTATTTCGTTTTAATATCTGATGACATTAGCCACATTTTGTTCCAGAACAGTTCTATATCCTCAATTTCACACACTGACCACAGGCCTTGACCTGGTCTTATTACGTTTTGCCCTCTGTGCTGGAAAAAACCCAATGAAATACATTGGATTAATTAGAGTTCTTGTTAACTCTTTCCTTCAGCCTCTAGTCTTCATGCTAAGCAAGGCTAATGCACCTAATTTATTACGGATCAGAGAGAAGCATTAATCTCCTCAAGTCAGCAAAGAAGTTCCCACAATGGCAAATCATTTCTTTAAAGTAGACTTGACCATGTTAGGAATATTTTCATTTGCAGGGAATCAATCAACCAACATCTCTGCATCTCAAAGATAGGTTCACAACTGTTTTCAGACATGGACTCTAGCAAATGTCCCCTCAATGGGGTGTGGACATTCTCCAAACACTGTCTTTCACATATGAAGAACGTAGCTGAACATTTTCAATATTATGTTCTTGTAATCACATCAACATAATTTGTTTATGCAAAAATTGAATATACAGTATATTACACACTTCATGTAAGTGGCATTATCAGTTATTGAACCAGTTCTAGATTTGTTGATCAGTCCAGCTTAATCCTGTCGAACTGAGCCTCAACATCTTGCATTGGACAGATTTAGTCATATCTCCAACCACCTCTGTTTGGGTTCGGTTGGTCTGAACAGTTGCCATTGAAACGATTTGATGTGGATGGCCTCTCCTGCAGCTGCGACACACCCAGGCTCTGTTCACTCTGGGGAAGGTATCTCGGATCAGATCAGAGAACCTGAATCCCCGACCTTGACAATAGAGGCCAGAAATGCTCATCTGATGGCCGGGTCAGTGTCTGGAGACGACTGACAGGAGCTGTAATGCAGTTAGAGCGGGAGAGTAATGGCAACAGACAGCAGTGACAGGGCGAGAAAGGTGGGGGGAGGTAGGAACAGATGGAGACAGATGATAGCACAGGAGGAAAAGGAGATAGAGGAGAGAGGAGCAGAGGAGGGAGAGTAAAATGCCGTATGGAGGAAAGGGAATGGATTGATTGAAGGTGGAGATTAAAAAAGAAGAGAGAAAGAAAAGGGACACATGGAGGTCTGCTGCCATGGACTGAAAGATTATGCCATAGTCTATTTCATTTGCATTGGCTCTCAGGTTTCTGCTAAACTTAATTTTTACTTTATTAATGTGGCTAAATGCATTTCCAACCTCTATTAGTTAAAGTCGTTAGGTCTGGTTTGGGTGATCTGATCTTCAGTGCATCTTAAGTGCATTTGCAAATGGGTGTGATGCATTTTCTTCATCTAGGGAGAATTCGGGTTTCTTACAACTTGGTTCCTGAGATTCTCTTTCTCGTCCTCATTGTTGACCATGGAAACAGAATGGTTTGTCCTTTAAGTAGGAAAACCTTGACACCTGGGAGAAGCATCTGCTGAAGAGGATTGTGCAATATGATCAAGAGCTTTGCAGCTAGGGACCTGGTGAGATTGTTACTGCCTAAGTGGATCTCAGTTTTTTGTATTTTGAGACACTATTTCTATAGGAGCTGTCACTTTTTGCACAACAATCAAGTTCAAGTGAATAAGAACTAACACATGATTGAAAAACTGCTATCACAGCTTAAACTAGGCTGGGGAAGGGACATTTGTTCTCTTCATTCATAGTGATGAGTGTCTTCATGAATTTTTATTCATGGTTTGTTACTATAAGAAAGGTGCAGGCATTTTTAAAAGGTTTATTCTTGCATGGTATTGAATCTAAAATGATTTCACACTTATCTTCTCCGCTGGTTTGATGTGACAATAATTGGTTCCGCACCACAGTTTCCTCCAACCTGTGTAGAACTAACTGTGGATTTTACATTAAAAAATAAAACGTATTCTTATGTTAGTAATGATTAACAAACTAAGTTAGATGCCAATATATTTGATGTTTCTTAAATGTAAGGCTGGTCAGTTGTTTCTGAAACACATCTTATTTGTTGAAATCTTCTTTACGTCCTGAGAGCCATCAATAGAAATTTTCTGAAAAACAATCAGATATCTGCAGCCCTCCAATTAACATCACCAATCAATTCATTCTGTGTACCTGAGCATTACCTGCCCGTGCTCTCTCTGCACAGGACCACCTTGAGAAAGACATACATCACTGCAGCAGAGATGATCAGTGAGCGAGTCACAGAAAAGTCGTCCTAGCAGTTGTGAGGCAGTGCACGTCCATGTGTGAGGACCGATGGGAGGGGGTGGGATACATTGGTTAAATATTTTCAAAGTGTAGCCTGCACTTGTTTGCTTTTCCAAGATTACCAACCCTAGCTTTAAAAGAAACACAAATAGCTACATGATGAAACAGGTTTTAAACGAACCTACAGGTTGTTTAAACAAATCGTTGATGATCCAAACAGTCAGTGACCAACAGGATCAATTTTGGTGATAAGGAAGGATTATTTAATGAAGCAAACAATACACTGATAATGGCCATCTTCTAACCTGCCATGTTTTGATGACACTAGAACTGAAGCACATTCATCTGATGTACAGAATGTTATGTGAAGGTAAAACTATGAACTCCTGCTGCTGAATCCTCCATCCACTGCTTCTTTACAAATGTCTCCTCCTGATGGGGAGACACAAGGCTGCCCTCATGCTATTAAGAGAAAAAAACACTCTAACCTGCTAAAGCTTTTTGTCTGCAAGTTGCTCGAGGGAGGAAGAGAAAAAGAGCCAGCAGGAGAGAGGACAGAGGTAAAAGCGAGTGCAAAGCCGTAAGAGAAAAAGCGAACGTGATGAGAGAGGAGTACAGAGAGAAGAGAGAAAGAGGAGTGCGAGTCCAGGGGAACTGAGAGGGCACTCTGACTGCATAATTGGTGCATGCACGCGCACACATGTGCACAGATGCGCCCCTGTGCATTACCCCTCTCCCCACAGCTCTGGAGTGATGCTTTAGTGGTTGCTACATTAGCCTTGTTAGATATGCAAAGCGGGCCAATTAGCAGCACAGTGTGCAGGAAGTGACATGTTCCACCTGAAGAAGCCCAGAAACAACTGCAGCGTTCGACGCCAGCAATAAATCACGCCTGTGCGAGTCTGTGTGTGTGTGTGTGCGTTACTTTGAACACAAAAATGTCACACACCTGAATTATAAGCTCATTAGCTATGGGCTTAAAAAAAACATTCTCACTCTAAATAACCTCACTTCAATCTCGGCTGTATTAAATGCAGTCGTCTCTAGGAAAATATCAATCTGTGCCACTGCAGTGTTTCCTCACCAGTGTATTGCTGTGAAATTGGCTGAAAACACAAGATAAACAGCTGCAGTGCTGCGTTTGATTTGGTCCTTGTCTGGGGGTGTCAGGCTGCCTCTCTGGTGTGGAAGACTGGTGAGCATCAAACCCAACATTGGGACGATACTATACAACCAGTATTTCCAGTGGAAATATAACTGCCCATTAACTTTAGACAAGCATATCGGCATGTTATTAAAAACCAGACAGTGACCAGTCAGTGTTGTTCACCTGTAGTGATGTGGAGGGTCCCACATACAGTAGCATCAGGGGTGTCAGAGAAAGATTTATTTATTTGTCTTATTCCATTACTGCCAGTCTGACGGTTTGATCTGACAATCAAGTGAGGCCAGTGTGTTCAGCTGTTTTGTGGCAGGTCAAATATTTCAGTGTGATGTGTGATGTCCAGGTAAAATGATGTATATTTCTACTCTTTGCTCATTAGTGGAGGTTGAGCTTCTTGTTGGAGTCTGAACACTGTCTAGTCTATATTCAGATGAGGTCACTGGGTCTCTGTTAAATTGTATCTCTTATTTTTGAAAATAAATTCATGCATTCTTTAAAAAGTTCTCCTGGAAAGGTAAAGTCCAAAAACCTTGCTTCAGTGAAGACCTCTAATCCATTGTCCAAACACGAGCAGTCACATGATCAGACAGTTTTTAAGTTTAGAGATTTTTTTTGAAAGATTATTTAGAAAGCACAGGCTCCCAATATCTGTAATGGTAAATTGTTGCCAAACTACAGCCAGTACAGTCGGTCAAATTTGAACCAAACAGTCAATCTGTAAACTGTAATCATTTTACACATTTTATTTTCTTGTGTTCCAGTGAAGGATTTAAATGTATTTCCTTCTTTATTAAACATTTGCAAAGCCCATTTTTATGCCTCCATGCTGGCGACAATCAGTCCGTCCCATTCTTGTGAACCTGATATCTCCAGAGCGCCTGAAGGGAATTCCTTCAAACGTTCACTTGGACTCAAAGATGAACTGATAAGATTTCAGTGATCAAAAATCATGGCGACAAAAAAATGTATGTATACAGAAACTGCACAGGTTGGTGGAGGCATATCGCAGGGTGGTAATTTTAGTATTAGTTTGTAGCTAGCACCTTTTTCTGCAAATTGTTGTGTTTCTTGACATGTGACCAGCATCATCATCGTCATGTGAATAGTGTGAATCCATCTGCGTGTGAGTTCAGGTACAAACTAGTTGGAGATGCACACCTAAAAACAAGTTTGCTCCATTGCACCAAACCTGCACTGTATCCCTTTAACCTGACTGATTGTTGGAGCCCAATCTCATCATGAATGAAAGGACAGATGGAAAATAGAAAGTTGTGATAAACCAGTTAGGTTTGAACTCTTTGACCCTGTTTTCAGAGTCAGTTTCAATTTGTACAATGATTCCAAGTTTTGTACTGACATTTTTTCTATACTGACTCACACACACAAGAAAAAAAATCTTGGCCACCAAATATCAGGTATCAGCAGCTTTAATCCAAGTAGAAGTATTACTTAAAGTCTTAGGTCTTACACAGTATGAGTAAAGCCCTGCCATCCACCTGCGTCTATGTGTATTTATCCAAGCATAACACTCTCTGTATTCTTTTTGTAGCGAGTGGCTTCTCCTGCTGTCAGCACATTTCCTCACCCTTCTTTCTCTCTGTTCCAGGTGCTGGTTTGGCACACACGCACAGAGAAACCGCACCTCGCAAATGAGCCCAAACATCGAAAGGACACTGTGGTCATTGAGGTGTGAGAGGACGGAGCTGAGCACAGGATCCACGAGCCAGAGCTGTTTGTGGCTGCCCGTTATCTCTTGGCTGGAAATAAAGACAGCACCCTGCTTTGTCTCCTTATCGGGTTCATACGATCCGTTCACGACGGACACAGACACAGACCCGGAGGAGCTGCATGACTCAAGACTTCTGGCTGTCTGTCAAACGTACTTTGTGAGAACTGGAGACCACTGAACCAGTTCCTTTTACAAACTGGGATGACTTGGATTGTTGATTTTCTCCATGTATGGCTTGCTGATGAAAAGAAAACACTGACATGAAAATCTGTTTGAGTCATGAATACCTCATTGTCAAGTTAACTGTTTTACTGTGATGTAGTTTCCATAAACAAGGCTTGTGGTCCTGCATCTATTTTATGACAGTGGTAATGTTATGCTGATGTTTGTCATAGTTAACGGAGGGTTCCGCATTAAGGGAAATACTGGAGCTTGCTGTCTCTCTTAAAGCGACATGAAAAGATTACAAGTGGTTACCTTAAAGCTAGGTTAGCAAAAAAGACAGGAAGCAGTGGAAACAGGAACGCTGCTCCACTCTTGAGGTAAAACACTACAAAAAAGTTCCTACTAACAGTTACTCACAGTTAGGGCCGGGCGATATGACTTCAATCAATATCACCATTATTTCTAACTTATACCTTGATTATGATTAATGACGCATTACGTCTTAAGTTGTGTGTGGCATTTGAACTGCGTTCCCAGTAGAAAGTTTGAAAACTCTTTGGCTGGGTTTTAGTCTGGACGAGTACAAACTGATTGCTGATTGGGTCTTTTGGGTCATTCCTCATCATTTTGCCGATTTGTCAGGCTCTTACCACATGACCCCCTTCTGACAGAAAACAACCAGCACCTGCCTCGGCTACCGGTGCCGAACATGATCGACTGCTATCTTTGCTGACCCTGTTGTCTTTGCTAACAGCTGTTGTGCAGCTAAATTTTGCATTTTAAAATGATGCAACAGCTTATGTGCATTGGAGTAAAGCAATGCCCAAGCCTAGTGTGCGTATGAGTGAGTAAACTCATGTGGACAGGGAACATTCTCATTCTGATTTTCTTTTTCAAATTTTCAAACAAAAACTTAGTGGTATGGATGTAACCTAAGATAAGATAATACCACTTCCTGTTTGCAGCTGTCACTGTTTTTTCTTTCCATTCCCAGTTGAAGGATAGTGAGCGTGTTTGCAAAAGTATTAACTATTACACTCCGCATAACACCACCACGCCTCTCTTACTGAGCCATTTTTCTTTTTTACATCAGCTTTTCATTCTTTTCATCACCTGCCAAAAGTTTTAGCTCCATTCGCTCTGGAAGGAAACACCACCACCATCTCCATGTGTGTAAAACACTAACAGAACCAGCTCTGGTCTTCTTGTTGACATTAATTACATGTCTCAAACGTAATGTGGTAATGATTTATTGATGCTACAACATTCTCCTTTAAATCACCCTGAACTGATCATATATAATGAACTTTAGCAACCCTTGCCCTCCTCTCATCCTGTTTACATGCACAGGGTGTGATCGGGTTTGGAAATGGCACATGTGACGTAACAAGAAACACCGCTACTGACAACCTGCCATCCATAATGTAGAATCTCTGGGCCGACAACAAAGAAAACTGGCCTCACAGGAAAACCTCGGCAGAAGAATAAAGAGGAATAACCTGAGTATATTGGATGTAAACAGCTCATCAGACGTGCTTCTGGTTTCACAGCTCAAATGTGCAAGGCACCATTTCTTCGGTGTGTTTTACCAGCAGTGTTGCCTTAAAGCTGGAGCGCAGGACTTTGAACGTCTGTCACATTCAAGCACTTCGACAAAACAGTTCACACAGAGCTGATGAAGTCTGTCAGGACCAGGAAGATCTCTCTGGGCAACGTTGCCAAACTGTGCATCGGCTGGGATGTCTTTTGCATGAACCGGGGAGCAATGGAGAGGCAGTTGGCTGCAGCAACTATGGAAGAACAACGCAAGGCAGCTTCCAAGAAAAGTTTCTCATGCTCTACATAGACAGGAGAGACGGCGTTCAGAGGAAGGATTGGACTAAAAAAGACAGTGATGGACAGTGAGGACAATCATGGATTTATACGTGGTGTGGCCGTCCTTGTTGTAGTGGCTGACTCAAGCTTTCAAAGCTCTTGGATAGGTTAGCATTAGTAAACTATTTGGAGTAGGGTAGGTAGCTATTATTTACACTGAATTATTGTCTTGGAACTATGGTCATTTCTGTGTTCGACAGTGTCTGTGTCACTGCCAGAAGGGGGAGACTAAAGTTCCGCACTGCAGGTTTAAGTTTAGAGGAGACCGAACACGTCTTTGGATCTCATGTACACACAGGAAAGAAAAACAGGATGAATCCAGGATTCTACAGCCTTTATTCCAAATGACCCTCTTGTAAAACTTGGAACAGAAGTACAGGAGCAAACAAAATCCCCCAAAAGATAAAACAGTACTTTTACAGTAAAGAGTCATTGGACAAAGACGAACACAGAAAAAACATTTCTTGCTATTTATTGTTTCAATGCACGGAAACCACTTTTTTTTTCTTCTGTACTAGGCACCAGAAAATGTAAACACATTGGAAATAAACCTGGAGGACATTAGTTTTATTGAATATGTGTATGTGTCATTCACACTAACCACTTGTGTCACAGAGCGCTACAGTTATTGCATGGCAGAGGGACCCTGTGTACACGGACATGAATCTCTGCGCTGAAGCTCGGCAGTGTGATTGCAGCTCTGTGTGCGTGTTTATGTATTTTGTTCATTTCTCGTTTTTCTGTGCTGATCTTACTCCCATTATCCTCCTCCTGCCAGTCTAGCCCTCTAATTGGTCGTCCAGGTTTATTTTCTCATGACTTACTGTGCTTCTCTTGAACTGCACACAACAAAACACCACAATAAAGATGGCGGATGGCAGAACAAATGTTTACAGCATCATATATTGAAGGAGAAACATGTTGGGTGTCACACTGGTACAGTTTTGAAAAGAATTTTCAAAAAATAGAGGAAATGGATTTTCGAATTAGCGTGACAAATCACAACACAGGGAAAGATACAGTTCCTGCTCTGCTATTTAAAGTGCAGAAAAGACAAAACCCCTGTGATTCCAGTAGTGCTTTAATTTGCCTCGGGGAGCAAAGGGGGAAACGACTCATTTCATCAACAAGGAAGTGTCTTAACTGGGTCAGAGCCCGGCTTCCACTGAAGCCAGCTCGTTTGGTTTTAAAACACTTCAGAACATCACAGCGAGGCGACCAAAGACATCCCAGGGACTAACAGGCCACCAGGCAATTACTGACACTTAAAGGGAATCCAAGACATTTACAGATTCCGGTTGTTTTGAAGCAGTTTGAGAAAATGGGTTGGACATATTCATCTACTAATAAAAGTATTGATACTGGTTCTGTAATCATCAGTGGTTCCCTGCCTTTGTTGGCTTTTACGCAGATATAAGGAATGTTTCCTTTCAACTGGAACTGGGCAATTACTTCTTTTGAGTTTTGTTTGTGCAGTTTGTATTCAATGTCTAAAAAATGAAAACTGAAATCTAATCTTTCCTAAAAATCATATTTTAAGTGACAATTTAACATAAAAGCTGCATTAGCTAATATATACTTATTAGGTCGATACATATCTGAATGTGGAACTATAAACTGTTTAAGACGGGGAAACAGTTGCTGTATGCATGGTGTAAGAAATAACATGTACGTTCTTCAGCGTTAAACGGGCTGGTAGGAATGAAAAACTGAGCCAGGCTCGCTGTCTCTTCCTGCCTCCAGTCTTAGTCAGCTAGGCTAATCTCTTCCAGGCTCCAACTCTATACCTATAGTAGCCAGACATGAGAGCAAACAAAGGTGTTTCTCAAAATGTAGCACTGGTCCTTTAACTATAGCACATTGTACCGCAGTGCCTACAGCTACAGATAGTTAAGAACATTCTCGATGAAGACAGTGCTGCAGGTAGAGCAGTTATTTTCTTCTGCACATCAAATCTAGATGTATCACTTTGCATTTGTAGGGGATAAGATGATCATTATAGTGTAATAACATAAGAGATTTTCTTTAGACCTTACTCGTGACACCTTGTTTTAGTTTGGGATGTGTATGAGTGGGAAGAAGTTCGAAGAATGATGCTGAAGCTGAATAGTTTTTTAGATATTATGAGGCAAGACCCTTCAGTATCTCACAATAAAAAGGCAGATATTCTGATATAAATGGAAAAAACTAAAAAATATATTTTATTTCATGTATTCTTGTAAGGTAAGAAAGGAACCACTGCTGTCATGATCATTTACTCTGGAGCTGATCAGTGATACGCTGGCTGCTGTGTGGGGATAAAAAAAAACACTACTGGCTGTAATGAGACACTTTCCTTTGATACTCTGAATGTTGTAGAAATTCTTTGCAGGAAAATGATCACGTTTTGTGAAAATGTATCAGTGCAAAATAACAACTACCGAAGAAGCAGCTTTAAACGCATGTCAGTCAAAGCCTGTGGTACATAGCAATGCTAAACTTCACAGGCTGTATTTAAGTAAAGGGGAGGACTTCACCTCCACATCAACATCCCCCAGCACCACCACACACACATACAGTGCCATGTGACAAATAGAACTCAAACCAAGGTTGTGGAGAGTCAAAGCATCAGCCTCTCTCCTATGGCTCTGAAAGAGTGGGGGGGTTCACGTCATATTCACATAGATACAGTACTGCTCACACGATTATCTGCTACAAGGCTCTGCTCGCCCTACAGGGAGGGGGAGGGAGAGGGAGGGTTACAATTTACACAGCAGAGAGAGGGGTGAGGACAGGGTAGCATAAACCAACCACAACATAGCCATATCTACTGTAAGTACTCAAGGACTATTCACACACTATCCATTTTGGTAAGATATACTGTAATATTACTATAATAGGACTCGAAGTTACTGGTCCAGCAGCTTTCTTTTTTTGTGTTGCTGTTTTTGTGCCTTTTTTCTTAATCAACAACAAAAGGAAACCAAACGAGGACACCCAGATAAAGACAGGACACGACAGCTGCCAGTCTCTTTTTTCCCCACTTGCCTGCACGGTGTCTTGGAGTGATGTCATCTTGTGTACAGTTTGGGAAGGGATTTAGGACAGGCAAACTGTCCCTGCTGTGCGTTATTATTTCATTAAAAGCTGTTAGGAGATGGGAGGATCTGAGAAAGATTTGGCCATTTTGTTGCCATGTGACCACCCCGTGTTTCCCCCCATTCATCCTCTGGACCTCCTCCTCGTCACTTCCACAGCTGAGTGCTGAGGGTCTGGCCAGAAGCTGTCGGTGGAGCTGCAGGCCAACTGGCCGCGGGGGCGCCTGAAGTCGGCCCTCCCCCGCTCAAGGCCATTCCTGACATATGCTGGGTCATCTGAGAGAGAAAAGAGAGGAGAGGAGTCAGTGTGAGCAAGAAAGAGACAGCAGCGAGAGGGGGGGGCTGACCCCTCCATCCTTAAGCTCCACTCCCATACCTCCATCCCTCGCTCTTACCTTCTTACCTTCACTCTCCTGCTCTCAAAGGTTTCAATCTTCCCCTGCTCCCTGCCCTCTCCCCCAATTCCCCTCCTCTGCTCCTCCTGCCTGCCCTCCCCCTTCCAATCTGTCTCATCTATTATGAATGTGCTTTGCTGCAGCGCTACTCACTTATCTGGCCATCTGAGAGCTGTGGATGAGTGTGTGTGCAGGTATGTGTGCACTTATGCATGTGTGTCAGCCAGTCTCTCAGACTCACAGTACGAGCAACTTTGTGCTCATTTATCAACTCACCATTCCATTCCATCTTCCTGCACAATATGAACACACATACCTAGTCACCAACCAAAGCTGGAGTCCAGTGTGTGTGTGTGTGTGTGTGTTTGTGTCACAAATCCCACAAACAGTACGTGCAACCATGTGCTTATTTATCAATTCCCCATTAAATGATATCTTCTTGCACAATATGAACTCACACTTTTAACCTAACTCCTGCCTTAACACTTCAAAGCTGCTGTCCTTTGTCACCTGTCACCTACTCGCCATCCTAAACCTGGCTGCAACTTATTTATACAGTCCATGGGTGCGAGCTGGTGTGCAGGCCTGCTGAGACTTAGTGCAGCCTGGGTAAAGCATTCCAGAAACACCCTACATACTGTATCATCAAATCACTATAGTCTGACATGGAGGCTCAGACACTGAGAGGATCACCAATCTGCGGATGAGACACAACAGATCACTCGTACCAGTCTGCACAGTGCTCAGGTTGACTGGTTGATTTTTGGGGGGGATCACTTAAAGTGGGCGTCCATACACTGCATAGGATGCACCGAGCTATGAATTTGTGACGGGCGGGGTGGGTGTGTCCTATGAAGCGTTGGTTTTGGTCTGGGATGTTGGGGCTAGTGCGTCATCTTTGGCAGTGGACATTATACATATAACTTTTCATTTTAAATGTTACTATTTTAGTTCAGATTTTTTGTTTTTGAGAAAAAGATTTGAAGTAAGGTTAGAATGGCTCTATGTATTTACGATCACCTCACTTCCCGTCCCGCTATACACATACCAGCGCATCCTCCGAAGAGAAAAAACAGTAAGGTGCGCTCCAGCTTTGCTCCTCTCGTCCTCGGCTTCATCATCTTTGTTAACAGTTGCATATTGTGATCCAGTTACTATTTGGATTGAATCATTCACGTCACTGCCTTCCTAATGAATGCAGGCCGTATGCTTACCAGGTGTAAATGAGGCATAAGAGTTGAGTAATAAGGGTAAAACAAGGACAGAGTGATCCGTTGTCAGAGCTGTTTGTAACTAGAACACAGCTTGTTTACTCTGTAAACACACTCTGAATCCTCAGAGTTGGTGAGAGTCGAATAAGGAAAATGGGAGGTGGGTGATATAGAACCAGCCTCCTGTCCTGTTTTATTTGCCCCTAATTATTCAAACTCCTCACATTTTTCATATCAGATCTGATTCACAATGACAGGAGCAAACAGCATTTTAACGAGCTGGACAGCATTGGCTCATACATGGGTTCGGTGTTGTGAGCTTGTTTTAAATGTTTATTGACTGGCTTACAATGAGGAGCTGAGTACAATTTAAACCACATGAAAATGATTAACTTCAGGTTCTTGTTAAATACACTTCAAATGCATGTCTGTATCTTTGGTGTGGTAGTTGTGGTGCTACCCCCCCAATCTGTTTTTTTTTTTTAAATGAGTCCAACCTTATGGAGGTGAGGTCATTACATTGTTGTTTATCATTTCACTGAACCATGGACAAATGATTTTTTTTATAAAATACATTGAATAATTAGACAGTGGTTCTTAAGAATAGTTGCTTTAAAGCTGCTCTTCCTGGGCTTTTAGAGAGGTGGAGGAGAGGTCATGTCTGCACTGGGCTTTGCACAGAGCAGCACACAAGCCACTTTTATTAAACTGAAGAATGGGAACTTTTCACAATTTGTAAAAAGTTCCCATTCTTCAGTTTAATAAAAGTGAAGAAAGGTTCCATAAAAGAAAAAGACAAACATTTATGGTCAACTTATTAAGGTTACTAGAAATACCAAAAACATTAAAGTGTACTGCCTAAACGATTATTGAGCAGAGAAACTGCAGTGGAACCACAGTGAGCTAAGTGTTAAATGTATTTCATCAGCACAATCAAATGAATCAGCATTTTTTCAATGTGTTTTAGACACGTACACTATATATTTTGTGTGTGTCCTGTACCTGGCTCATGTTCCACTGTCCTTGCTGCTGCCCCTGCTGCATATTGTACATGTTCTGTCCTTGGCTGGCTGGCATCCCGCCCGGCTGCTGCATGTAACCCCCGTTGGGCAGAGCCATCCCAGGCATCATGGCCCCTCCACCCATCATAGTGGTGGGTGGGGTGACTCCCCCCATCCCTGGGTTGAAGGCCTGTGAAGTGAACTGCATTTGTGGCTGGCCCATGTACATACCTGCTGGAGTAGAAAACATCATAGATACAGAGGAGTTAGGTTTGTGCAAGACATCATGGTAACTTTCCATTAAACTGCATTTTAACAAAAGAGAGAATAAGGAGAACTGAATTGCTATTAATCTAGTTTTTTTTAATCTAGTTACTATAATTTACTACAAAGTATTACAACAACTGGGGAGATAAGTAATTCATAAAACGAGAAACAAAAAAATGTAGAATAACCACTACAGCCACTAACTTATAATTTTACTTTATGTCCCTTTCTCTGGAAAACACTCTGCTCTAAGAGAAGTGGTTTATAAATAAGATTAATTAAAAAATATAAATATATAAATGAGTCATTTTTACGGTTTAATCTCATTCATTTACTTTTCATAAAGAGAAATTACAGCCGTATTAAATTACAGCTGATGTTTCACATTCAACTGGCAAAACACGGGTGGTTTTTATCGTGAAGCAGCCACAGGGAGTGAAATATATCTGGCACTGAAAACACAACATGGTCATTTCTGTCAGTGCATCACTGGTGAATATTGCAAGGAAGGAACACAACAAACAGGTTGGCCACAGTGAGATGTCGGATGTCGACCGGCAGGCGCCAAACTCCCGTGGAGTTTGTGTCAGAGGCCACGCCACTGTCACACACTGTTTTACACTGCCCCACTCTTGTGTCTGGGAGGACACAGTGTGCATCCTGAAATCAGATCATGGTTGCTCATGTGATGATGGGAAAAGGCCAAATTATTGACTTCTGTTTTTGATTAAAACACTGTGACAACCCGTCCCGCAGTTTGTTTGGGTGTTCTGTAAACACACACACCAGCTCCTCTGTTCCATGTCCAGCAGAGGAGCTGCTCAGGGTGTGTTTGCAGGTCAATACATAAAATGTTTTAAAGGAACCTCGAGGATCTGTTCGAATGAACATCAAATATTTAAACTCAAAACTAATTTTATAACCTAAATACAAAAAGATTTGAAGTTTGCATGACTTGGGGTGATTTAAACACGCTTTATATTTCTTCCTCACATTTTCATGAGAACATATCACCCATCAGCCCATTTCCTCATCAGCGCTACATGACTCTACTGTGGGGAAATGATAAGTGGCAAAATATACAGCCACGGATTTATCAGTATTTTTACTGAGTGGTAAGACCTCAAGGAGCAACGGAGAGATAACTTCTTTAAAACCGGCAAAAACAACCTCTGATATTAGCCGGCTGTGCTTGTGCATGTAGGAAACGTTGGAGAATCATGCCATCTATTCAACTTTTAAAGTCCTGTACTGCAGATTCAAATTGGAGTCCATGAATACATATAACAAACATGAGCTGGTTATATCGTATAACATTAGTGTTTTCTGACATTTTGAAAATGTTATTTGCTCCACTTAGACCCACATCCATCCTGCTGCAGTGCAGAAAGGCACATGCACACACACACATAACGGTACACATTCAATGATTTGGGGCATTTAGCCTGGCAAGGTTCTTTAGCTTTGATCTCCATCAGCATTTATTTGGATTCCGGGACAATAAAGCAGCAGAAAGCTCTTCATCCTGATTTCCACTCCTAATACTCTGCACACATCGGTGTTATCGTGCAGCAATATAATCAATATGCACATGAGCCTGCTGCACATAATAATCTGCTGCCTACTACCCACCATTCAGTAAACATGTAACACTAATGCTGTCCCACACACACTCCAAAAAACATGCTAAGGCTGTTGTACCTATATACGTGAGCACTCGGCAACATGCACACACACACACTCACAAAAACAGTCTTGGCACTTCGGTCCTCACTCATAATAACTGTGAGATGAGTGTGAATCCGCAGACACATCTCTATTTTTACGGCTGCAGTGGGACTCCAGTAAATGCAGCGTGGAGTGGACCTGCCTGCTTTTCAGCGCGCTGACCTTTCATCTGCCTCGCTCTGCTCCATTTTTATGATACATCTTTCCTCTTCTGTGTGTAGGTGTGTGTCTCGGCTTGTGTACAAGCCCCCACGTCTAAGTGTGTGCTCTTGTGTAAACGCAGCATGCAGCTTATCATTCCTTGTTTATAGTGTCTTTTATAGTGTCTCTTTACATTTCACATGTACAACACATACAACTCTTTAGCTTTAGATAACAAACTTATCATTCCATGTTCAAATCCTGCGGAAACACTATGTCCTGCGTTTGAACCAGTGTCCCACCTGTTTTGCAGCCACGTCTCTCTTTCCACTGCTGCCTTCAAACATGCCACTTCGGGCCAAAAGCTATAAAACAAAATCTGACATGTTGTGCCCTTATAAAGATGTTATGATGTCAGCAAACATTTGCCTATTTACACATCCATCACTGTGGAACTTTACAATTAACTCAGAGCTTTGTTTCTCAGCACGAAGCACAAACGATAGGAAGTTCAATATTTTAACTGAAAACACAGTATTGTTGTAGCACCTCAGTACTTTTTATTCCGTGCGTCAATGCGGCCCCTAGCACCAATAGAAAGCTTTGAGAGTAGTGCTTGTGTTGTGCATGTGGAGGTGGCACATACAAAATCTTTTAGCACATGCTGTTCAGAAATGTGTTCAGGCCTTTGCTCTCCTTTCAGCTCTGCTGTCAACTCCACCAACTCCAAAACTAAACTTTGATCATCTCTACAGACACAGATTCTGCATGTGAATATTTAGAATCTGTAGGCAAGGGACAAGATTTAGGGGCCGGAACCTCTCTGGGTTCTGTTTGTAATTTGAACATGTTTGACCAGGCTTCGGTTGCCCGCAGGTTGATAATCCATGTAGAGAGCAAGACCAAAATGCATCATCTATGGACTTTTTCATTAGTCTGAATTCATATGCAGAAAGCTGCAGTCATTAACTTAATGTTTCAGGGCCTCCAACAGCTACAGCATCGCTGTTTGTGCTTTGTGTGGAGAAACTTGTGTGATAAAAAATGGAAGAGTCTTGGCCCAGATATTTGCTGTCTGCACTGGAAGCCCCCCAAATATTGCCCCCCCCAGCTAATATCTAATGCTTCGTTAACACAAACTGCTACCTGAGGCTGGTCAGTGGCATGTTTGATCAACCACGAGCCTGTGTTGGTGCCAGGACCCGATTTCAGTGAATTTGGTTATTAGCGCTGATTGTAGAATCACATTTTTTACAATAGACGCAAATGATGCACATTTCTCACAATCTATTCACGTCTTTGCATTGACTTTGCATGTTATCTGGTGTGAACGCACCATAACTTTATCTGTCAGTTGTTTGGTGATGAGCAGCACAGTTGGTTTATCAGAGCTCTTTGTCTGTAAAACCAAAACATAATAAGATGATGGAATGCATTGTAGAGCTGAGTGTATGATGATGATTCATTATTCAGTGACAGCTTTCACATAGTCAGTGTTTCAAAAGCTGTTGTAAAAATATTAGTGAAAGCAGCTAAAGCTAAGGTAAGACCAGTGGCAGCAGGTCTCAGCAGTGGGTTGTTATCACGAGGGCACAGTGAAGTTAAATGAGGCGAGACTAAATGAGGATCGACCTTTTCTCGGTGCCCCTCGGAGCAGATGAAAAGCTGAGAATCAATGCAAAGTGGACTGGTTTATTGTTAAGGTTTTTTTTTTTTTATTGCAAGGTTCTACCTGGTTTGATGAGTTGAATACTGTATCTGTAAACTGTGACAGCTTTGGTGGAGAAGTCAGATGCCAACAGTTGAAGGTTGAAAGGTCAGTTATGGATTGAGCACTTTGGGATGGAACCCTAAACAGATTATAATCTTACTCATATTAAACTTTTCAACTAAGAGAAAAGGAGACTGACTGGAAGTATCAAAATGCAGATATTTAGTGCTATTTATAATGCTGTGTATTTTAAAGCCAAACTAATCAAAGTAATGGCTGAGCTTAAATTGACTTCACTAGTGGGGATGATCAAGCTCCACTGACTTCTGGATAATGACGGGTTAATGAAAAATGCTGCATTTTTGTGTGTGTGTGTGTGTGTGTGTGCGCGCACGTGTGTTACCTTGTCCTGGAGCAGATTGCTGCTGGCTCTGCGGCTGACTGCCCACTGAGCTGCTGGCATACAGAGACAGGATGGAGTCTTTTGATAAAAGCTTCTTCTCCTCCGCCTTTGTGGTCATAGTGGTGGAGATAGAGGAGGAGGTGGAGGTGTCCGCCTGCGGAGCTGCTGTACTGGAACTAGACTGTGAGGGAGACAGACAGGGAGGAGAGTCATAAACGATGAATGTTTTTAATGTCATGTTGTACACATGACCCGTGCATGTCCACTTGACAGGTTAATGGAAGGTAGCTGATTGATGCCAGAGCCTCAGTTTCCCACTAAAACTGCATACACAACTGTATACAGAACTTTCTCTTGCCACAATGGCCTGGCACTTAAAATTCTCCTTAAAACTGAGCTGCACACAATTGCTTTTGACCACTATTTCTATTCCCAACTACCACTTCTTCAATAATTTTTTGGGGTGTTTAATTTTAAATTTATTATTATTATTATTGTTGTTGTTGTTTTTTATCCAGACTTTACTTTTTACACATGCAAAATGCAGCACGAGATTCTCCGCTCAGACGTGTTCACAACATCATAGAAATCTCTGGAGCATTCAGGTGAGGGTTTGTGCAGCAGGCAGAGGCAGGATGAAACATATTCACTATATACTATGAGACTGGCTGAAGAAAGTCAGCAGAAAGTCTGAATGCTCTCACTCAGACATTTAAATTCACACATACAGCAAATCTATAAAATGTCCGGAGGACCTCCAGAGTTTAGTGCATGTCAGGAAGCAGCTTTTAACTGGTTTTCTATCTTTCTCCTCCACTTAAGTTCAAACAAGCAACAAAAAAATGTGTAGAAAGGCTGAGAATATATTTATTCATACATACTGTAGAAATCAGGGATGAATACAGACGTGACAGGACCAGAAGAGGGGAAGAGACGAGACAAAAATAAAGGGGAGAAGAGCGAGAGTTGAGTAGAAGGACAAAAAAGGGGGAAAAAGAACGGAGAAGACAACAGAGGAGAAGCATTGTCACTGTAAGTGAGACAGATGACATTAATTAGGCTGCTGCAAAGAGAGGAACACATGAACTGTTCAGACAGAAAACACACACACACACACACACACACACACACACACACAGTCCTGTTCACATCCACTGTTTCATTTTTTCAAACTTACACATCTATTACACCTAATGGATGGAGCTGACAAGAAAGCAACACCTGTTTAAGAGCTCTGAACAAGTTTGTGTGTGTGTGTGTGTGTGTGTGTGTGTAGTAAGGAGAGAAAAGGGAGACAGTCAGGTGGACTGCATGAATAAACAGTGGCTCCTGCAAAACACACACACACACACACACATTAGTGCATCAACATTCTATATTCACTGTGAAGAATGCTTCATATACACAGAAATGATATATTTTTGAGCACACACAAACTAAGTGTAACACACATGTATACCGACACTATGATACACAAAATCAGAAAATCTCTCACTCACACACACACACACCAAGCTTTGTGAGAGTGTTGTGCTCAACTGCTTAGCAGGCAGGGCTGCTCCCCTCTGTCTATCTCTGCTGCCTTTCTTTGACTTGTGGAGGGACGGAAGGAGGGAGGGGAGGGGGGCAAGGGGAGAAACAGAGGCAGGATGCAGGAAAGAAAAAGAGGAATGATGGAGAAGAACAGGAGGGCAACAGAAAGTAAGGGAAGGAAAGGGCAAAAAGGGCAGTGATGGCAAGGCTGCAAGGGTAAGAAGAGGAAAGGAAGGCAGGGAAGACAGAGTAAGAAAAAGGACGGAAAGAATGACTGGAGAGACTGAAAGGAGAAAAAGAAAAAGGAAAGGGAGGACAAGGTGAGAGGAAAGAAAGAAGGGTTGGATGAAGGAAAAAGCTGAGGAGAATAGGTGGATGGATATTCATTCAAACACACACGATTCATTTTCTCTGTAGTTAATCGAGCAGAGGTGAGTCAGGTGATGATGGAGGCTGGGTGGAGCTACCTAATAATAACTGCAGCACATTAGTGTGTTTCTCGCTCCTGCACAGACTAGAGGTGAGAACAGGCAGCAGACAGCATGACTCAATCAAAGGAGCTAAGCCTATCTGCTGCTGATCTCGTTCACAAAGTTGAGAAATGCATTACAGTAAGTGGACCTCAAATCCCGAGAAGTGCCGTCCATTCAGCTTCCTTCTCTGAGACGTGTTTCTCATTTGCTACCCTGTATGTTACTAAGATTTCAGATGTAAATTCAAGGGTACGTCTGCTTCATTGCATCTTTGTTCTTCTGATTATGGCCATCATTAATGATAACTGTGCACTCAAACAAAACAACTGCAGAGCTCTGAGAACACAGAAAAAAAGGGAGCTCCAATTCTTGCTCCAAAATTCAATGGGTTCTTTCTCGGGTCACTCCTCAACCCTTTGTAAAATATAAGGACATCTGTTCAGTAGATCAGTAGAAATCCTCCTTTAATTCCCGATAGTCATCAGTAAATAAAGAATAAAAAATTTAAAAAACACTAGCGTCTTTTGCCCTCGCCAGATTGTAATAAACGTGATAATTTGGTCTGAAGGAAATGATTGGCTGGCGTACCTGACTATCACTAACTGACCTGTCTGCTTAAATGCACCCTGCCTGTGCTCTCACTTCAAATGACCAGAGTCTTCACAAGCCGGAGACACATACCACATAAGCAAATGGTCAGGAGTTAGTGAGTGAGTCACAGAAAAGTCATGCAGGGCCTGTTCATGTGTTTTGGGTGTGGGTGGGCATGTATTGATTATATATTTTCAAAGTGCAGCCTGCTCTTATTAGCTTTTCCAGTATTACCAACCCTAGCTTTAAGTATTGTAACTATTAAGTGGTGCAATTTGCAGATTTTGTGAGATTTTCAATCCTCCTGATGAAACCAGAGAGTTTTTGATCAGCAGATTCAGTTTGACTCATCAAACCTGAGTGGATACTGTGACATGGTCGAACAGTAAAATGTTGTTAAAAGGTTAAAAACAATTGATTTAGGGATTCCCATAAGCAACCAGTGTAATATCCAACACTGGGGCTTCTAAAGGGAATTACATTTGTTCTTCTTCATCTTCGCCTAATCAGAGCATATGTGCTGCTCAAATACAAGGGATCGACATGGGGTCAACTAATGGCCAACCTGCTCTACCACCTATAAGTTATAATACAGAATATAAAGGCAGTGGAAATGCAATTAACTGTAAAAATGAAAAAAATAAGACAGTGACGGTGATCAGTGGCCTTTACATAATACTTGAGCATGTGGTTCTTCAAATAAAGCTTTCTTTTGGCATTAATAAGGTTGCTTAAGAGGAACCAGTTTTCCATCAGCCTTTCACTCCTACTGACATCTGTGAGTGCCAGACACTGAAGCACTATTAGCCCCAGTTGCATTGAAACAGTGAGTGTTCTTGCCAAAGTAGAACAGTACACAAAGTACATCTATCTAATCTCACTGAAGGAGAAAAAAAATGTAAGCTCAGTATGTCACAAGTGTGTCTATCTTTTTCTTACACTTCTCAAACTTCCATTAACACACACACACACACAAGCATGCATGCACGCACGCACGCACGCACGCACACACACAC